ATGTGTGAAACTTGTGGCACGAGCGAATGCGAGTGCCAAAGTCACACGAGTGTGGAATAGGTTTTCTGCACGAGTGGCACACTATACTCTTTCTACGACCTCAATGACGAAAACCCAAATGACACATTTTTTAAAATAATTTGATGAAGTTTATTAACGATTTAAAATTAGAAATATTAGGAGGTGGTAAATATGTATTATTGTTATCACTTTTTAAATTTGTAACATATTTTCTTTTCTTTAATCTAAATTTAATTTAATTTTTAAAATTTATAGTTTTCACTTTTTTTTGTTATATATACCTATCTTACATTAGGAATTTGTAGAATACATCGAGTAAATTAACCATAATGAAGAAGATTTAAAAGACTTCGATAGCTCCCCAAAATAAGCCTTAAAATATTTTGTGAACGCTATTGGAATAAAATATTGTTGCATTTTAAGAGGCGCTAATGGCTGATTTCCTGATTGATTTAGATTAAGACGAAATCGCTGATAGATCTATTTAGATGAGGTGCAAGAATATAACGCTTATTAAAATTATAATACCTACTGTGTTTTGAATATAAATACTTTATCTACAAATATTAAAAAAAAAAAAAAATAGATGTAGGGTCCAATTACAATTAGAAGAACACCGCTAAGTGATAACAATTATTTCGAATTTCGAATAAATATTATATATAACTATCAATAAATAAAAAACAAGTAAGTTGTTAGGTATAAAATAATATTTTCCTACGACCACTTAGGACTATATAGTCCTATGGAAAGTGCCCTATATCACACGCGTATGAATAAGAATTTACTTTCCACCCGTGTACGAATATGCTACTTTCCGCATCAGCTGTCACAAAATGTCAAACGCGTCATTTCTATTTTGATCTATGTAATGTCCATATTAATACTAAAATCGATAATATTGTTAAATTATTGAAATTGTTGTAAATTAGATCCTAGATATTTATCTTTAACAATTATTATTAAAATAATTTTAAAATAACTAAGTTATGTTTGCTTTTTATTCTGGTTAAACACATAACCGATTAGATTCTTCAATTTACGCAAGTCCTATTAGCTCAGATGGTTAGAGTGTCAAACTTTATAAACTTTGCCATTTGAGACCTGGCGAGCGACCGCGTTCAAATCCTTGCAGGGGCAGAATTTTTTTTAGTTTTTTTTATTTTTTTTTAGTTTTTTTTTTGTTTTGAAAATATGAAAATTGAATAAATCCGATTATTGTTGATTATTTTTAAAATACACACAACAATTTTTGAGATGTGTGAACATTTTTTGTTTATAAATAAAACTCGGTCCTTACCAAAGACTTTTAATGACAAGTAACTCCCATAGCAATAAAAATAATTAATTAGTTGACAAAATACACACAATGGTTTTTTTTTTGGTGTCTGAAACGAATTGAGATTTAAATTTTTAATATCCGAAAAGCAAAAACAGAAAGAAAATTGGTAATTTTAACAATCCGTGTTATCATCTCTAACCGTTATGTCTTGGGGTATGTTTCCCCATTCTGCTAATGCTGCATCAATAAGCTGTGCGACATTTCCTGCATTGTTTCGACGAGCTCTAATCCTTCTTCTGAGCTGGTCCCACAAGTGTTCAATAGGATTTAGGTCTGGTGAACATGTAGGCCAGTCTAAAACTGTGACACCTTCTGTTTTAAGATATTCTGTAGCCACTTTGCTGGTATGGGGAGGTGCATTATCGTGCATAAAGACAAAATTATCCCCAATTACAGCTCTAGATTGGTTCTAGCACTAAATCAACATATCTCGAAACGGTTAAAGTTTTTTGAAGTGGTAACAATGGAGGTTTTGCTTCCAGCATAATACCTGCCCAAAACATTACAGTTCCTCTTTGATATCTTGGGACATATCTGGGAGCGTGGAGTCTCGCTCATCTTCCTGGAGCTCTGAGAACCCGAATTCGATGGTCATCTGATCATAGGCCAATTCTGGTCTCATCCAAAATAAGAACATTCTGCCAATTCTCAATTGCCCAATTTTTTGGTGTTGGAGGCACCAATTTAGCGGGTCAATTTTATTTTGTTTAGATAACGGTGGGACCTGTAACTCTTTCCTACTGTACAGACCTCGTGCGCGAAGTCTTTTTCTTAGAGTTTCAATTGAAACGTTCACACCTGTAGCTTCCAGAAGTTGTCGTTGTAGCTCTAGATAAGAAACACTGGGATTTCGTCAAGTAAATTGGCACACAAAACGGTCCTGTTATTCAGTTGTGACTCTTTGACTACTTTGTATGCGCCTGTTCTTGAGAGTTTCTAGTTTCCAGTACCCTTCATATGTTTTTGATACAACACCCTGGATATCGCTTACTACCTCTGCTACGTCTCATTGGGGCATTTCTTGTTCAATGAGAGAAATAATTCTCACCCTTCTGCATATCTGTTAGTCCAATATAAGTCATTTTAATGTTTTTCTTAGACCGAAATAAAATTACCGGAGAATCGTGATTTTACTTCTGAACACAAAATTCATAAGATAATAAATCTCAGCAGTCGTTTCTTCTTTATTATTATGTTTGTTAAGAACAAAAGGCCTTTTCTTAAAGTTAGTTACAAATTTTTTCCTTACAAAACGTTTATTCAGAAATACATAGTGATTCCATATAAGTTTGGTTGTGTGTACAGTTTAATTATTATAATAATAACTCGGTTTTACATTTTTTGTATAATTATTTTGTGGTCGTAGGAAAAATATTGTACATCACTTGTGTGAAAAGTGATTTTCCACACTCGTGTGATAGTCGCACTCGGCTTGTGCCTCGTGCGACAATATTTCCCACTCGTGTAAAAAATGTCACTCTCCACACTGGTAATATAATATACTATTTCTATATTCCTATAATATGAACACTAAACCTAAGTAGGCCACGATAATCAATTAATTACTTTAATGTAGATGTGTTCTAATTGTAATCGGACCCTATACGTGTTTTTATTTTCAAAATACCTACTTTACACATTCTTTTTTATATTTATAGTTAATTGAAAATAATTTCTTTTTTTTTCAACTAAAGTATCTGGATGAAAGCTAACGACGTTGTAAAATCCAATTTAAGTTTTTGAAACGGCTTTTAGTTTTAGTACCCCTTTGTTTTATGCGACATTATGCAAATTTACTGGAGTTTAGTAAGGAACATAACCGAAAGTACAGGGCATTGTTAATTAGGTATTGCTCGCTGGTGCAATGTTCTTAAAGGACTTGAGAAATTAGAACCTGTAAACTAATCCATAAACTCTTGGGAGTCTTGGCCCAACAGCCAAACAAGCCTTGTTCGATATGCATAGATTTATTTACAGCCAGCCATTCGTTTTATTGTTTGGTTTACGAGAATAGAGCAGAAAAGGTATTTGCAGTTAATGGTATCGAAACATGTTATATATGTTATAGTCCATTTCACCGTGTTTGGCATATACCTAGAATAACATGCCACATATTTTCAGAGTTTTATATTTACATTGATGAAGCCCTATGCACGGTAAGCAGAATTTATGATTTAGTTAATGTGAAAATTAAATGTTTACTATTGAAGTATACCGCAAGATCTGACATTTTCTTTTATTTCTAGTGTAACGTAATTGATATTATAAATATATTGGGTCAGATAGTAAATGTTTATTTGAATAACAAATAATTTCTCAAACACCAATTTTATAAATTGTTTATTTGTTCTTGAAGTGTAACATTGTCGTCCAAATTTGAGATAAAATTATATAATTCAAGGTCATCAACAAACATTGACCTATTGCAATTTAAAGAGTCACACAAATCGTTAATATAAATTAAAAATATAAAGGTCTTAAATTGGATCCTTGAATGTAGCCACTAGTTGCAAAATAGATTTCTGAGCAAATATTCACAAAATAAAAAATGTATTGGTGATTATTTTAGAACTACTTTAATTATTTAGCTTATACACATCTTATTCTTGATAATATAAAAATAATATTCAAAAAAACATACTTTACATTAAATAATTTTGACATTTACGCCCATGAAACTCGTATTTATAGAGACGAAATGTCATTACGGCAATTTGTATACCTTGTTGCTGTGTTGCCAATAGCTTTTCAAAAAAAATTCACTGATTTAAGTTTAAGGTTATGTTTACAAGTTGATTTTCAATATAAAGTGTGAGTAAAAACTGATTATTATCTTTTATTTCTACATAAAGAATGCCAAAAAAACTAAAAGTTGTTGCAAAGGGATATAGGACATTCAGGGCGGCCAATTCAGTGCCGTCGATTCAGTACCGCTGTTTCAGTGCCGAGACGTTTCAGTGTCAGGACGCTTCAGTGCCACTAGTGTTGCCAACTGGAGGGAAATTTCCCGTTTTGCGGGAATTTTCGACACTAAAGGGAAAAAGTTAACTCAAAACAGGAATTCTTAAGTCCAGTCCAAATTGTGAAATATTTTTAAAAAATATTCAAACGATTATTAGAAAAGACTTCGAATGAATTAAAACTAATAAGTGATTTACTGTTTATAACCATTCTTTTTGTTAAATTAAACATCTATTTCCCCACTCGTAGCATTTGAAGTGATCAAACTGATCGAAGTTGAAGTTATTCTTTCTTTCGGCACGCGCTTGAGTTAAACCGGGACGGAAGTGGGAGGTATTTCAAGGAGGAGGAGTCTCATTCTATCAGCGAATGCAATAACGACGTATTTCGGGGAATCCCTTTGCTGTTCGGGGAATGTCTTTTGTTTTCTATGAGGGAATCACAGTCAAAAATCGAGCTAAGAAATTGTCTTATTTGGTACTTTCGTTATACCTTAGTGTTAATTATTAATTATTATTAGAGCTTAGAGCAGGGCGTACGTCACCATAAACATGAGTGATAATAGTAACTTTACTGACAATGAGGCTGAAAGTAGTCAGCAAGTAAAAAAAAATAAAATAAGCAAACGAAAAGAAAAACATTTAATGTTAAGTGGTTAGAAGATTCTACTTTTAAAATGTGGCTTAAGGCTTTACCAAAGAATAATAAAAAATGTGTGTGCAAAGTGTGTAACACGGAAATTTTATGTGGTAAAAGTGAACTGCTAAAACATGCAGAAAGTAAAAAACATTTAAAAAATATGTCTGCTGTTAATTCTAGTTCAAGAATTTCCTCATTTTTCTCAACTAACAATACTCCAAAACATCAGAATGCCGTAAAAAGTGCCGAAATAAGATTAAGTATCTTTTTCGCCGAACACAACGTAGCTACGCATACAATATATCACTTGATGCCATTACTTAAAGACATTTTTCCAGACTCAAAAGTGTGCCAAGACATACAATTAGGAAGAACTAAATGCACAGAAATTATAAAAAATATTGTTGGAAATTACGAGACAAATTTGCTTGTTAAGGATTTACGTGATACGTCGTTTTCTGTTCTTGTTGATGAGACCACCGATATTAGTGCAAAAAAATCCATGTGTGTTTTAGTCCGCTATACAAAACAATTTAAAGTAGTGACACAACTTCTGGAGCTAGTCCAGCTTAATGCTGCTGACTGCAGTGCGGTTGAACTGTATAACTTTTTAAAAAACTGTTTTAATAAACATGAAATACCCATTGCAAATATAGTTGGTGTGGCTTCAGATGGAGCAAATGTGATGGTGGGAAAAAACAATTCTCTTTTTTCACATTTAAAAAGTGAAGTTCCAGACATCATATTAATGCGCTGCATTTGTCATTCTTCAGCTCTAGTTGCTGGTTGCGCAGAACTACCATCATCGGTGGAAAATTTAATTAGGAGTATATCAACTTATATTTCTGGAAGTGCAAAAAGATGTGCCATTCTACAAGAAATACAAGAATTCATGCAACTGGAAACTACAAAAATCCTAAATTTATCTACAACACGTTGGCTTAGTCGTCATGCATGCATTGTAAGAATTTTGGATAATTGGGAAGCTATCAAACATTTTTTTACTTTGGCAGTATTTGAAGATAAATTAAAGTCGGCAGAAGATATTTTAAATAAGATGCAAGACATGCGTTCAAAGGCTTATTTACTGTTTCTTAAATATGCTTTAAATTTTTTGAATAGTTTCAATGCGTTATTTCAGCCAAGAAAAGTATTAATTCATAATCTGTTTGATTCTTCAGAAAAATTATTAAAACAAATTTGTAGTAACTTTTTAAAACCTGAAGTTTACGCTGCTAATCGTAATCTTTCCGAAATTAATGTAAAGCATCCTAATAATTTTGAACAGTTGCAAAATATAAACTTGGGTATTGAATGTCAAGAATTCATTCGTAACATGCCTCAAACTGAAAAAAATTATATTTTAAAAATGTGTTTACAATTTTACATCACTGTTGCAGCCCAGATACAATCAAGATTACCACTTAATAATATGTTTTTTAGAAACCTACAATTTTTAGATCCCGAAGTAGCATTTAATTTTAATAATCGAACTAAATTTAACGTTGATATAAAAGAAGTGGCAAAAATGTATCCTAATCACATTAATCTTACACAATTAAGTGTCGAGTGGCAAAATTTGCCAAATGCATTTAATGAGTTTGAAATTTTAGATTTTAAAAATATGGCAATTGAAGAAATGTGGCTTAAAATAATTGATTCTAAAAATTTTAACGATGAATATTTATTTCCCAATTTAAAACAAATAATAAATATTGTACTTTCTTTGCCTCATTTTAACGCTGAGGCTGAAAGAATATTTTCTTTGGTTACAGACATCAAATCAAAAAAACGTAATCGAATAGGTGATGATAATTTAAATGCAATGTGTGTGATCAGTAGTAGCTTACAAAATAACAATATAAACTGTACCAAATATGCAGTTAATGATGAGCATTTAGAGTTACATAATAAAAAAATGTATGATTTTTAAAATAAATAAAATTTAAATTGTTAATTCTTTGACGTATTTTTATAGTTTTGTTAAAAGATTGTTTTTTAAATTATATTTTTTTATAGTTTGTTACTTATGTAGGTACGTTCGTTTTTTTTAATAAATATTTTTTTGAAAATATATACATGCTTGTATTTCTGGTATAAAACCGATTTTGTTAACGGGAGGGAATTTTTTCATAAAAGTGGGAATTTTTAAGGTAGGTGGAGGGAAAAAGCTTACTTCAAGGTTGGCAACACTATTAGCCAGGACGCAGAAGCGGCACAAGGCGTGGGTGCCGTGGGCCTCAAAGGTTTAATGCAGCTTTCTTGAACTTATGAAAAATATTTATTTTGTTTCCTTCTCACATCTGACCTACCTATATGTAAGCAAAAATCATATAAAAGAATGTTAACTTTCAAACGAATTATTTTAAATAAGAAAGACTGCCAAATTCTAAACATTATCAAAATATGTTTTTGTTCCAATATATATCTCTCGAAGTGGCGCCGTAGTAAAATCTTAGGTAATATCGTTTTTCAACACCCACATGGATATTAGCTTATCTACGCTCATATTACAAAACGAAAAAGTATGCTATTGCGTTCAACTGAACGAATATATTTCATATCCATTCTAGGTAGTGAGAACACTGCACAGTTCATATTTTGGACACCCAACCACTATTATTTTTATAATTTTAAATAAGTAATAATTCTGTCAAACTAATTGTCAGTATATTTTTTGGTGATTTCGAATAAATATACAATAAAACGAAAGTTATTTTTGTGTAGAAACGATAAATAATAGCATTTTTATTTGGTTAACGTTTTGAAAATTTTTATCAAACTATGAAACTATTTTAATTACGAGTATTAAAACTAAAATCATAAAAGTGGCCGTGGAACCGTGGGCAGAGCATCTGCCTTCCACTCGAATAGCCCGGGTTCGAATTTGGGCTCGGGACAATTTTTTTTAAGTTTATTTTATTTTATAACTTAATAAAATTCATAAATTAATAAAATTCATAAATTATTTTAATAGTTATTTTTGCAACAAGTGCAAAAAGTAAGTGCTTATTGCACCTCGAGTGCAATAAACACTTTTTGCACGAGTTGCATACAATATTTTTTCTACGTTCATGCAAAAACCAAAAAATTTTTTATAGAGCTGCAGTTGTATTATCCAAATCATAGTAGCCGTGATCGTGTAACTTTGTGAGGCATTTATTTACGTTTGTGACATTTTTAACAAAATACATTTTTTTATTAATTTATTTATTAAATGATTGAAAATATAAAATATGCAATTGTTTTTAAAACGTAACACAGAAAATAAAAATGGACTAAATATTTGGCGTTGATTTGAATATTTATGTTTGTCATGATCATAAAACGCTGTAGTAAAATGACAGATGAGTGCAATAAAAATTTTTATTGCACTAGTGCAATAAAGAACCAGTTTTTTCACTAAATATAGTTCAATAAAGTTTTGTTTTTTGCATGAACGTAGAAAAAATTAATTATTTTGTCTTAACCTAAAATAATTTTTTAAATTTGTAGATTTTTGTTAGTGGGTCGTAGAAAAATGTACTGTACATCTCGAGTGGATTGTCCATTATGTCCATATCTACTCTTGTTGCACAAACTACAATTTTCACTCAGTAGGTATGCTAAATTGGTAGAATCCTGTAAATGGCCATATATTCGCTTATTTTGTTTTCTGTTTGTATAAACAGATTTTCATGTGAGAATGAGGTCCATTGATTGAAAGGGATAAATATTAAATAAAAAGTAAACCGGTCCATTGAACTAAAATAAGTAAAAAAAAAATGGTTTAATGGTTAGAAATTTTAAAAGTTTTGCTCGTTAAAGTGAAATATTTAAACTATTACGCACATACGAGGTCTGATCAAAAAATAACCATTATTTTCAATTTTTTTCCTAAAGTATTTATTTATTCATCAATAACTATCTTGTCCCCTTCAAAGTAATCCCCCTCCGATATACTACACTTATGCCAGCGTTTTTTCCAATCCTCGAAACACTTCTGAAACGCGCTTTTTGGTATCGCCAACAGCTCCTGTTTCGATTTTTCTTTTATCTCCTCAATCGTAGCAAAACGCTTTCCTTTCATCGGTGTCTTCAGTTTTGGGAAGAGGAAAAAGTCAGCGGGGGCCAAGTCCGGTGAATATGGTGGTTGAGGCATGATAACGGTTTTGTTTTTGGCCAAAAACTCACGCACAAGCATGGATGTGTGAGCTGGTGCGTTATCATGGTGCAAAATCTATGATTGTTTTTTCCACAATTCTGTGCGTTTCTGACGAATTGCTTCGCGCAAACGGCGCATAACTTCAAGGTAGTATTCTTTATTGACCGTACGACCTTGTGGCAAGAATACATGATGCACCACGCCATTGCAGTCGAAGAAAACAGTGAGCAAAACCTTCACATTTGACCGAACTTGACGTGCTTTTTTCGGTCTTGGCTCTTCTGGACGCTTCCATTGGGAAGATTGGGCTTTGGTTTCAATATCATAGCCATACACCCATGATTCGTAATCAGTTATGACCCTTTTGAGGAAATCTGGATCGTCGTTGACGATGTTCAAAAGTTCCTGAGCGATGTCCATGCGACGTTGTTTTTGCTTAAAATTTAGCAATTTTGGAACAATCTTCGCTGCCGCACGTTTCATGCCTAAAACATCTGTAAAAATTGCTTGGCATGAGCCAAACGATATGCCAACATCATCAGCAACCTCTCTGATACTGATTCGACGTTTATCCAAAATCATTTTCTTCACTGCTTCAATGTTTTATCGGTTGTTGACGTGCTCGGGCGACCAGGACGAGCATCATCATTGACATCTTCTCGGCCTTCCTTAAACCGGTTATACCACAATTGAACTTGTGTTCTGCTCATAGACTCGCAAAACGCCACAGTCAACATTTTAAATGTCCTTGCGCATTTAATTTCATTTTTTACACAAAACTTAATACAGTTTCTTTGATCCATTTTTTCGAATAGTAAAAAATCGAAGAGCACACCAAAACACGACTAACCTTTTTATCTGTCAAAAACAAACTGACAATCCAAAATGGCTGATATTGCCAACATATATAACAGATATGTGTACCAACATAACAGAAAAAAAATACGAAAATCGAACATACGTAACTCACGAAATTTAAAAATAACGGTTACTTTTTGATCAGACCTCGTATAGTGTGTCAATTTAAAACTTCTCTTTGGCAATCGTTCTTTGCATGAATATTAAAAATAAATTACTTTATTTATAAAACCATATAATTATATTAAAAAATAAAAATCGAATTATTATATTTAACAGAACGTTCCGATGTGGTTTATTGTTTTTTATTCTCCTCTAATATTTGATCCCAGAGGTGAAAAGTGAATAATTTGAAAGGTGCGTCTTTTACGTTTTCGTTTGCGCTCTTTCTCTTTCTTTCCTTTTCCTTTTTTTTTCATTTTTCTTTTCTATTTCTTATCTAAGACGTCCCCTATAAGATTTTTAACTTATTTTTGTATTTGTTTTTAAAAGCATCACCTTTAAAATTATTTAAAGTGGACTGTTCTCGAGTGGGTGAGAGCAGTTTTTTCAAACCTTACGAATTTTATGAAGATTTACAAATAATGATCTCAAATTCCCTGATTTCATTAAAGGTATAAAACAGCTGCTAAAATACACAATAGAAAATAAGTTGAAAGAAATTTATTCAAATATTTATATTGTCATTCAAATTTTGTTAACAGTACCAGTAAGTACAACTTCTGCTGAAAGGATCTTTTCAAAATTAAAACTAATAAAAATTAAGAAGTACAATGGGCCAGCCAAGACTTTCAGCATAGTCAATTTTATCTATTTAAGCAGATATAACATCTAATCTGGATTATAGTACAGGAGTTCAGTAAAGCTAAAAGCAGGAAATTTATGTTTCTGTAATTCTTTACTGCTAGTAATAATTACTTAATAATATTAGCTAGTCTAAGAGATGTTAGCATTTTTATGATTACAAGTTTCAATTATTTTATTTCTCTATATAAAATCAGTCTTGTTGCGCCACCAGAGGGCCTCGCAAAAATGTATCTTGCCCACATAAAATTTAGGTATTGCCCCGCCACTGCCAGTACGCTTCAGTGCCGAGACGCTTCAGTGCCGGACGCTTCAGTACCACAAATATTGTTTTTATTAAATAAAGATAATTTTTAGTAAATTATATGATAACTTGGTGAAATGATCTTTGTTCAGATGTTTATTATACATAAAGGAATTCAATATTTTCGATTTTCCAAAACTTCTCTAGTATTTTTACGATTAGACAACAATGCAAGGTCGTGACTTCATAAATGATCTATGACGTGAATCGGTAACTGTATTAAAAATACTATAGTAGTGTAATGATTGTAGTAATACAGGGTGAGGCACCGAAAACGAAACAGATCGCATATCTTGAAGACACATTTTTTTTTGGAGAAAATGCAAAAAGAGGTCGATTTTTATTTCAAAGGGGACATCTTTTGATCATATCCTCAACTATCCTACATCCCTCCCCACCCCTCTGTCACTATTACCAATGAAATTGAAATAGGGAAAGTACTAAATGTGACACATCAATGAAAAGGTAATTTTATAAGGAATTTGACTGTGTCACATGACAGTTCAAATGTGAAAGACAAATTTAAAAATGTAATGCATAATGCGTAATTTGGAATAAAATTGAACTTACTACGCCTATGTTTTCGTGAAATAAAAATAGAGGTTTTTATTTCCATAACTACCAGGTCTGTTTTTTAGTTTAGAGTCATTGATACTTCAAGTCTATTAGCGAGTAAAACATTAAAATGGTTTATT